GTTTTGGCTGTTGGAAGAAAGTGGTTTTTATTGATCTATTTCATAAATATAAATATAATATAATATAAAGAATATAAAACATAAAAATATAGATTTATAATAGATGTTTTTATTTACTTTTTTTTTTTTATTCGTCTTTACCGCAGCGCCGCAGTGGAAGCGTAAGATTGGCTTGTGTTGGCAACTCTTATCCTGTCTCTGTGGGTTGTTGGCAAGGTTCTGCGCTGACAACGTGGCGGTAAAGTTGGCAATGGATATATTTGGGTGGCGATGGGCGGGGTCGTCATCACCGTCATCGTCGTCGTCATTTTTTCTGCGATGAAATGACGAGGGAAGTGACGGAGGCAACGGGGGGGGGGGGGGTCTTGGAGGCCGGGAGGGGAGGGGGGTAGGTGGCAGCAGCCCTGGAGGGGGAGAGGAGGCAAGTTAGATTCGGATTATCAAAGACAATTAGACAACTATATATATAGGGAAACACACCAAACATATATATTCATAATATACATATATATATACTATAATATTATATAATATATTATATAAATATATTATATATTATATATATATATATTATATATATATATATATATATTATATATATATATATATATATATATATATATATATATATATATATATATATATATATATATATATATATATATATATATATATATATATATATATATATATATATATATATATATATATATATATATATATATATATATATATATATATATATATATATATATATATATATAATATATATATATATATATATAAATTTGTATATATAAACAGCAATGATAATAAAGATAATGACAGTAATGATAATGCTATTAATAAAGATAAATAATGGCAACAATAATGAGGATAATAGTTAATGGGAATGATAATAGTGATAATAACAATAACAACAATAATAATAACAATAGTAACAACAATAATATTAATAATATACGATAATGATAATGAAAATAATGATAACAATAACAATTATGGCAATAGCAATAATGATAATGATGATGATAATAACAATGATAGAATGATGATAACTAGAAAATAAAAAAAAATATAGTAACAATGATATGATAATAATGATGATAATAAAAGTAGTAGTAATGTTAATATTGACAATGATAATGATAACAATAACAATGATAAATGATTATATTTACGATAAGGAAGAAGAACAATAAAACAATGCTACATATGATAATAATTAAGAGATAAATGATAGTGATAAAAAGTAATAGTAATAATAATGATAATGATAATGATTATAATAAAACTGATAATAATAAAATATAATAAAGATAGTAATTGATTAATTATGACAATAATAACTATGATGATGATAATAATAACAGCAGTAATAATGATGATAATAATAATAGTAACAATAGTAATAGTAATGATAATAATAAGGATAATGATAGTCATAACATTAACAATAATGATAGTTTCATTTTTGTGCTCTTGATGATGATAATAATAATAACAATGATGATGATAATAACAATGATGATGACAATAATAATGATAATGTTCACAATAGTAAAAAAATTATACCAATACTAAAGACAAACAGAGACAAACACACAAAGACAACCACACAGAAACAAAGACACAAACAAAGACAAAACACACCCAAACAAACGACACAAAGAAAGACAACTACACACAAACAAAAAGACAAACAAAGGCAAAACACAAACAAAGACAATCACAAAGAAACAAACGACACAAACAAACACTACCACAAAGAAACAAAGACACAAACGAAGACAAAACACAAACAAACAAACGACACAAACGAAGACAAAACACAAACAAAGACAACCACAAAGAAACAAAGACAAAGCACAAACAAACAAACGACACAAACAAGGACAACAACAAACACAATCACAAAGAAACAAAGAAACAAACGAAGACAAAACATAAACAAACGACACAAACAAAGACAACAACACACAAAGACAAAGCCCGTTTTTCACCGAAGTTGTCAGAGTAATACAGGACAATTACCCCCCCCCCCCCACCACCCCCGCTGCCCCACCCCGCCCGCCTCCCCTGCTCCCATCCTCTGCCTCCCCCTCCCCCTCACCCCCCCCCATCCCATCCTCTCGCCTCGTTGCTTCGTCTCCTCAAATCATTCTCCCTTTTTCCTTTTTCTTTTCCTTGTCTATTCCCCTCTTTCGTCTCGTCTTTATTGTCCTAGTTTGTGATTTATTTCGCTGTTATCGTTATTATCTCTTATGCATCATCTTCTTCTTCTTTTCCTATTATCATTGTTGCTTCTATCAGTTCCCGTCTTTTATCTAATTTTTTTTATTATCATTATACTTTTTCTCTTAGTTATTCTTATCATCATCATTGTTATTATCATTATTATCATTATCACTATCTTTATTTATTTTGATCATTATAACTACTATTGTTGTTTATGTTATAATTGTTGTTGTTGTTACAATGATAATGATAATAATGATTATTACTATTATCATTATCTTTTGCTACTATAATGATAATCACAATAACAATAGTAATATTGATAATTACTATGGTTATAGTTATCATTATTATTATCATTATTATCATTGTCATAATTATCATCAATAATATCATTATCATTGTTATCACAATAATTGTTATTGTTATCACCACTGCTGCAATTATATATTTTTTTACGTGTGTGCATGTCCATTGAATTATCATTATCACATTCTAAAATTTAGTTTTAATTTCTCGTTTCTCCAGCTTCTCCTTCTCCTTCTGTCGTCCTTTCTTTTTCTCTAAATTTTCCCCTTTCTCTTTCACTCTCTATTCGTTAATCTTTTCTTGTTTTTATTATGTTACGTATTTTACAAAAAAAAAAAAAAAAAAAAAAAATCTTCCATTTCCTTCCTATTTCTTATCATCATTATTACCATCATTTTTTTTTCCTTCCTCCTACCTCCTCTATTCTTTTTTCGTTTCCTCTCCCCTCATTTGCCTCTTCTTCTCTCTGTTTTACTCTGTTCGTATTTCTCTCTCACTTGTTTAATTTTGATTTTCTTCTTTTCATAAATTTTTTTTTTTCAGTTCTATGTTGTCTTCTCTATTCTCTATGTCTTCCTTTTCTTCTTCTTCTCTTCTCGTCTTCTCTCCTTTCTCTCCTTCGCTTTTTCCTCCACCTCTCTCCTCCTTGTCTGTCTTCTTCGTCTTCTTCGTTTTCTTGTTCTCGTCCTATTCCGACTCCTCCATCTTCTTGCAACCCCCCTCTAATCCTAATCTCTCCTCTCCTCCTCCCTCCTCCTCCTTCTCTCCTCTCCCTCCCTCCCTCTCTCCCACCTTCTTTTCCTCCTTCCTCCTCTCCCCTCCCTCACTCTCTTCCCTACCTTGCTCTCCCCTCCCTCCCTCTCTCTCACCTTCTCTCTTCCTCCCTCTCCCCCACCTTCTCTCCTTCCTCTCTCCCTCTCTCCTCCTTCCTTCCCTCTCCCCCAACATCTCCTTTCCCCCCCCTTCTCCTCTCCCCNGATGAAGTGGGATAGGGAGGGGGCCAAGAGAAATAAGGGGAGGGGGAAGAGGTGGGAGGGGAGAGGTGAAGAGGAGGTGGGGGGAGGTGTGGTGGCGATCGAGCGGGAGGGAGGAGCGGGGGAAGGGGGGCGGGCGGGGAGGGGGGGGGGGAAGGGCGGGGGCGGAAAGGGGATTTTATGGGGAGGGGGGGGGGTGGGATCAGCTGTTTTTGAATATGTTTTCTTTTTGGAATGAATGAGAGGGGAGGCGTGGGGGAAGGTAGGTGGTGGAGAAGCGCTAAGAATGGTGCCAAGGGAAGGAGGCGGAGGAGGAGGGGCGGCGAAGGGAGGGAGGCGGCAGGGGGGGAGAAGAGGGGCGGAGTAAGACGGAGGAGGGGAGGCAGAGGGGGAGGAGGAGGAGGAGGGGAGAAGGGGAAGGGGAAGGGAAGGGGGGGCGGAGGAGGGGAGGCGAAGAAGGAAAGAGAAGAGAGGAAGGAGGGAAGAAGAAGAAGAAAAGGAGGAGGAGGCGGAGGAGAAAAAAGAAGAAAAGTAGTAGCAAGGAAAGAAGAAGAGGGAGTAAAAATAAGAAAGGAGAGAAGAAAAAGTACATAAAAAAAAACAAAACCAAAAATTAGAAAAAAAGATAAAAGACAACCATCTAAAAAAAAGAAAAGAAATCAGCATAAACACTCGGTAACGAAAAAGACGAGACAAATTAAGTCGAAATTCGTATTGAAAACGCACGCTAATTTGACCCTTCATGTCCATCATCCAGCTCCTACGTAAAAAAAAAAAAAAAAAAAAAAAAAAAAAAAAAAAAAAAAAAAAAAAAAACAATTATAAGATCAGCCTAAAACATCTATTATTTTATTCCCATCTGGTCCCCTGCATCAGGAAGGTACACACGCTCTCATGTATGTATAATCGTGATGGCATACACGTGCACATGTGTACATTGTCTATCTGTCCATCTATCTATTCATCTGTTTATCTGTCTGTCTGTCATCTATTATCTGTATGTATGTTTATCTCTATATTGTTTATCTGTCTGTATCTGTCTGCCTATCTATCTGTCTATCTGTCTATCTATCTGTTTGCCTATTATCTGTCTATCAGTCTATCTATCTATCTATCTGTCGTTCTGTCTGTCTATCTATTTATGTATATATATTTATCTATATGTCTATCTGTCTATCAGTCTGTCTGCCTATCTATCTCTTTATCTATCTATCTGTCTATTTTTTATCTATCATTTGTCTATCTATCTCTCTTTTTATCTATCTGTCTATCATCTATCTTCTATCTATCTATCTATTTATCCATATCATATACACATTCTTTAAGTATAGGATTTTTATCTCTCCTCTCTCTCGTCTCCCCTTCCCCTTCAAAGCTCTCTCCCCCCCCTTCTTAAACTCACTTTACCCCCCCTCCCCTTATCAACCACTCATCTCCCTTCCTAACAACTCCCTTTTATGGTCATTTTCCACCCCCTAC